TTTCCGAGTATAGAGATTTCGTTTTTCTTGCCGTGCCCGTTTAGAAATTGTGTACAAGTTTTGTTTTATTTTACTCGAGCCCTTATAGGAAATTGTGCGATTGATGCCGCGCTTTTCGAAACGCATCATATAAATGTAGCGTATGTATTGAACGATGATAAAGAATGCTGGTTTGTGAAACGGCTTCGAGCTCGGTAGACGGTGTGTGGATAGTGAGTGAGGAGGAGGAGTGAGGAGGAGGAGGAGGCGCAGCAACTCGAACAAAAAACGGTCGCTCGCGTCCCTCCCTCGCGTGTCCTTCCCTCGCGCACATACACTATCGTTTTATCTCGATGTTTCATTATGCGTATATATACACATATACATATATACATATATATACGCGCGTTCCACAGCGAGATCGCGGATTTAGCTAGCGCACAGCCGTTAAGCGGTCCAAATGCGATCGAACGTGTATAATATACGAAAGACGATCTTCAGCTCGCTCTTCGTAATATTTTTTCACATTTGCGACATCTCTCCTCATTCCGAGTGAGAATACGACGACGACGACAGTTGTTGTCTTTATAACCGAAACGTAGAACTATCTTTTCGATTACACCGTGTCGCTTTCAATCTAGCGAAGGGTCGAGAGAATGTTCGAAGTTTTCCACCGGTTACCGTAACGGCGCGCGCGCCTTAGTACGATCGTAGTCACTCTTAGCGACGACGACGACGACGACGAAAGCGCGCGCCCTGGTACAACCGGTATTAATACGTTAGACGTATACATATATATTTATATAAACACACACACACACGCGCGCACACACACTCACACGCACACTCGTACGTGTACGCGCGCACGTCGAACACACAAATATACAAACACAATACGGTTTATTCATTTTTCCCGTGTGTGTATACATATTTACGTGTGTGCATGCGTGCGTGTTCACGGCGGGCGGATGGTGTGTGTGTTGTCGTTGTATTGTGTGCTGTGTGCTGTTCGTTGACAGCATAATATAAACGTGTATGTGTGTATGTTTTGTCTGTATCAGAATTTGAAAGCGCGTGGCGCTCCGAAATTTATTTTCCGGAGCGCGCTTCACACGCATCTCTCTTTTGATTACAACAAAAAAACACCCGCGTGTAACAAACACACTTTTTCTATATCGTGTTACGCACGCGACGTTTTTTTTTTGCTAAACGCAACAGCTCCCTGGTTGATCCTGCCAGTAGTCATATGCTTGTCTCAAAGATTAAGCCATGCATGTCTCAGTACAAGCCATATTAAGGTGAAACCGCGAAAGGCTCATTAAATCAGTTATGGTTCCTTAGATCGTACCCACATTTACTTGGATAACTGTGGTAATTCTAGAGCTAATACATGCAAACAGAGCTCCGACCGGAGACGGAAGGAGCGCTTTTATTAGATCAAAACCAATCGGTGGCGGGTTCGCGCTCGTCATCGTACAACTTGGTGACTCTGAATAACTTTACGCTGATCGCATGGTCTAGCACCGGCGACGCATCTTTCAAATGTCTGCCTTATCAACTGTCGATGGTAGGTTCTGCGCCTACCATGGTTGTAACGGGTAACGGGGAATCAGGGTTCGATTCCGGAGAGGGAGCCTGAGAAACGGCTACCACATCCAAGGAAGGCAGCAGGCGCGCAAATTACCCACTCCCGGCACGGGGAGGTAGTGACGAAAAATAACGATACGGGACTCTTCCGAGGCCCCGTAATCGGAATGAGTACACTCTAAACCCTTTAACGAGGATCAATTGGAGGGCAAGTCTGGTGCCAGCAGCCGCGGTAATTCCAGCTCCAATAGCGTATATTAAAGTTGTTGCGGTTAAAAAGCTCGTAGTCGAATTTGTGTCCCGCGCCGCCGGTTCATCGCACGCGGTGTTAACTGGCGTGCCGCGGGACGTCCTGCCGGTGGACTTAGCCTTCACGGGCGGTCCAACTCAATCCCACCACGGTGCTCTTTACTGAGTGTCGAGGCGGGCCGGCACTTTTACTTTGAACAAATTAGAGTGCTCAAAGCAGGCTAAAACTTCGCCTGAATACGTGTGCATGGAATAATGGAATAGGATCTCGGTTCTATTTTGTTGGTTTTCGGAACCCCGAGGTAATGATTAATAGGAACGGATGGGGGCATTCGTATTGCGACGTTAGAGGTGAAATTCTTGGATCGTCGCAAGACGAACAGAAGCGAAAGCATTTGCCAAAAACGCTTTCATTGATCAAGAACGAAAGTTAGAGGTTCGAAGGCGATCAGATACCGCCCTAGTTCTAACCATAAACGATGCCAGCTAGCGATCCGCCGACGTTCCTCCGATGACTCGGCGGGCAGCTTCCGGGAAACCAAAGCTTTTGGTTCCGGGGGAAGTATGGTTGCAAAGCTGAAACTTAAAGGAATTGACGGAAGGGCACCACCAGGAGTGGAGCCTGCGGCTTAATTTGACTCAACACGGGAAACCTCACCAGGCCCGGACACCGGAAGGATTGACAGATTGAGAGCTCTTTCTTGATTCGGTGGGTGGTGGTGCATGGCCGTTCTTAGTTGGTGGAGCGATTTGTCTGGTTAATTCCGATAACGAACGAGACTCTAGCCTGCTAACTAGGCGTATTTCGACATCCCAAAGGCCCGCCGGTTCGGGTTTACGCCCTTGCCGTGCGCGGTTTTTACTGTCGGCGTACAAACAATTCTTCTTAGAGGGACAGGCGGCTTCTAGCCGCACGAGATTGAGCAATAACAGGTCTGTGATGCCCTTAGATGTTCTGGGCCGCACGCGCGCTACACTGAAGGAATCAGCGTGTCCTCCCTGGCCGAGTGGCCCGGGTAACCCGCTGAACCTCCTTCGTGCTAGGGATTGGGGCTTGCAATTATTCCCCATGAACGAGGAATTCCAGTAAGCGCGAGTCATAAGCTCGCGTTGATTACGTCCCTGCCCTTTGTACACACCGCCCGTCGCTACTACCGATTGAATGATTTAGTGAGGTCTTCGGACTGGTACGCGGTGGGCGTTTCGGCGTCGTCGATGTTGCCGGAAAGATGACCAAACTTGATCATTTAGAGGAAGTAAAAGTCGTAACAAGGTTTCCGTAGGTGAACCTGCGGAAGGATCATTACAGTGCTTTAATTTTTGTCTTTGACAAAAAAAGTCTTTCGTATAATGAGTAATATATTTCAACACGATACTTTACTCTTATACACTTTACTATTCATTGAACGAATTTGCCTTTTTTATTATAGGCGATGATGTAGCGACGTTCGAAAAGATAATAAGGAACATTTATAGTAAGATCGAGCGCACACACGTGTATATTACCCGAACGAGGTGTTGTTGTTTGTGTGTAACACACAACCTCTTCCCTCGTCTCGTCGTGTACGCGAGTGCGTATCTTTTTTATAAATCTTATTGAAAATCTTTTCGTCGTCCCACCATCATATAATACGTATAATTTTCGAACGCACCACGCCGTATAGAGCGCTTCTAGTACGCGCGAGCGCGCGCTCGGGGTACGTTCCGACACGCGTATATCGCATAGACATAATATTGTGTTGTATGCGTATGCGTATGTACACACGGTCTCTACGACGTCGTCGTCTGTACGGATGGCGATATTTTCGACGGTAACTCTATATGGGAGAAGAACGGAGATATGTCGTCGTGTCCGCACGACTCATTTCCTTCTTTTCCGGTTGTTTTTAAAGATATTCGCCCGTTAGTCGAAATTTCTACGCCATACGAAAAGACGGTACAAGAGGACGACACGTGTTGTACGCTTAATACATACATATATATCATGTTATGTACAACTCTGTTGTAGTGTTATTTGTACCCCTTGCACACGCGTATGCTATAGAAGCGCGATACGGATAGAATGCGCGCGTACACGAGAGGACTTCGTCGGCACGCTCGTGTTGTTATAAACGCGCAAAAATAATTTTTGCGCGTTTGCCGCGCAAAATACACGAAGTCTCCGTGAGAAATGCGCGCTTTCTTTTTTTTATATATTTTCTTTAATAACATTAGCCATTATCATACAATAAGACGTATCGATATATATTTATATATATAGAGATCGTCTAATTAAAAACGATTACCCTGAACGGTGATCACTTGGCTCGTGGGTCGATGAAGAACGCAGCTAATTGCGCGTCAACTTGTGAAACTGCAGGACACATGAACATCGACATTTCGAACGCACATTGCGGTCCTCGGATACTGTTCCCGGACACTCCTGGCTGAGGGTCGTATCAATTTAAAGACTGCTCGGTTTCCTCTCCGATCTCTGTTCGCGTCGTCGTATTATCTCTTTATCCGAGAGACGACGACGACGACGACGACATGAGAGAGGAGAATGAAACGTCGGAGCGTGTTGGATGTAGACGCGGCGGTACGACGCGACGACGCTAGTTATTATATATTTATTTATGTAATATCGTAAACGTCGTCGTCTTTGTCGTCGTCGCGGCATCTCAAAACGCGAAAGCGACGATTCGTTCGTCATACGAACGAATCGTAAACTCACACATAGAACGAACACGCGCGCTGTACGGATAAAATCGTAATAGCACTACATAATATATATATATATATATATATATGTATATATGCTGTAGTCGTTACGCGTTTCGAACTTGCGCTGCGATCGTCGTGTCCGAGAGAGAAATTATTTTTTCGAGATAACGACGTCTGATCGCATATACGCGCTAAACACTAGAGAACGCTTTCGACTAGTAGTAGTATAGCAGCAGCAGCTATACGATTTAGTATTAGCGATCGCGTGTGACATATATATCTGTGTGTGGTGTTGTGTTGTATATTGTTAACCGACCTCAGAGCAGGTGAGACTACCCGCTGAATTTAAGCATATTACTAAGCGGAGGAAAAGAAACTAACTAGGATTCCCTCAGTAGCTGCGAGCGAACAGGGAAAAGCCCAGCACCGAATCCCGCGGTCGATATCGGGCGCCGGGAAATGTGGTGTTAGGGAGGATCCGTTTATCCCGAGGTCGCGCGGCGAGTCCAAGTCCTTCTTGAACGGGGCCACAGCCCATAGAGGGTGCCAGGCCCGTAGTGGCCGCTGCCGATCGCGGGAGGATCTCTCCTCAGAGTCGGGTTGCTTGAGAGTGCAGCCCTAAGTGGGTGGTAACTCCATCTAAGGCTAAATATGACCACGAGACCGATAGCGAACAAGTACCGTGAGGGAAAGTTGAAAAGCACTTTGAAGAGAGAGTTCAAGAGTACGTGAAACCGTTCAGGGGTAAACCTGAGAAACCCGAAAGGTCGAAAGGGGAAATTCATTCGCGTTTCGGCCGTCGGCGATGAGCGGTCGCGCGACGGACGGCGTTCGCGCGCGTCGTCCGCGCCTTTCGCTTTTCGATCCGGCGTCGAACGCGTGCACTTTTCCCCTAGTAGGACGTCGCGATCCGTTGGGTGTCGGTCTACGGCTCGCGGTGGAGTCCGTGTACGATCGTTTCGGCGATTCGTGCTCGAACCCGCGATGTTCCGGCCGACTCGCTCGACGGTATACAGATGGCGCGAGGCCGCTACTTCTTCAATTAGCGTCCGACCCACGACAAGCACGTTCGATGCTAAGACGGCGATCGGACCTAGCGCCCGGTTCCGTCCCCGGACGACTGTTGGTCGTGCGGATTTCTCGGACAGACCTCGTTGAAACGCCGATCTGCGACGCTATAGCTTTGGGTAATTTCAGGACCCGTCTTGAAACACGGACCAAGGAGTCTAGCATGTGCGCGAGTCATTGGGACATAACTAAACCTAAAGGCGCAATGAAAGTAAAGATCCGCCTAGCGCGGATTTAGGGAAGATGGGCGGCACGTCTATAAAGCGGCCGCTCCGCACTCCCGGGGCGTCTCGTTCTCATTACGAGAAGA